CAATAGATCAGTTTTGCAAGAAGTGCAGCCAGAGTGCTCCTTGGAAGCCAAGATGGCCAAACTTCATCTCTCTTAGTTAGGACATATTGTCTGGAGGGATATCATGTTTGGTAAGATGGAGGGTCAGAGAAAAAGAGGAAGACCCTCAACGAGATGGATTGGCCAAGTGGCGGCATTGATGGTCTCAAGCGTGGCAACAGTAGTGAGTTTGGCCCAGGATCGGGCTGTATTTCGTTCTGCTGTGCATAAAGTCACTGTGAGTTGGTACCAACTCGATGGCACCTAACAACAACAACCAGCAATGGATAAGGATTCCAATTTCCCAACATCCTTGACAACATTTGTTATTTTCTGTTTTTGTTTCTATCCTAGCCATCCTACTGGTAGTATAATTATCTCTCACTGTGGTGGTGATTTGCATCTCTTTGGTAGCTAATGATGCTGAACATCTTTTTATGTACTTGGTGCTTGGATGTTGTTTTTTGGTGAAAGATCTAGTCAAGTTCTTTGTCCATTTTATGATTTGGTTATTTGTCTCTAACAAGGGTCTCAACTTCATAACTGGAAAGCATTTCCCAAATGTCACCTTCCCCTCTAGCAGTGTCTCATGCTGCAGGCTGTTTGAGAATGTGTTGAAGATACTTCCCGCCCTTAGGGGATTGACAGTCCAGTTTTGTGACTTATATTCTTATCTTTAGGTATAAATAAGTGCCTTTTGAGTGAGACAGACAACTACTGGGAATATTTTAGGTAAGAATAATCATTACCCTAAAAAGCAAACAGTCACCCAGGACTGGGGCAGGTTAGGAAGGTGACATGCAGATCTACCTTAGAGGGTGATTAGAAGAGAGTACATTTTGGAGTGGTGGTGGTGATAGGCATAGAAACACATGTGGTTTGGGGAGATTCTGGGTCACCTGGATAAAGACATCCAGCAGGTTTGTCCTGTCCTGGTCATAGCATATGAGACAGCTCAAGTCTAGAGCTGTATGTGTGACAGGAAGGGAGTTGCCATGCTTTAAATCAGATCTTTCCATACATCTCTTTCATTCAACAAAAACTGAGATACAGACAAAGGAGGGCTGTCCAGTCAACCAACAGCAGATGAAAGCCCCAGGAACCCTATCCTGGTCCAATACACTTCCACTGCCCCTAGCTGCCCCATGACGCTTGATCTAGAGGTCACCAGGGAGACTACAAGAGGGGAAGTTGGAAAGGGTGCTTGGTCTGGTAAAAGCTGGGCTGTGGTGTAAAAGTGTATTTGGGATGGAAGGAAAGATGGAGTCAGCAGAAGAGAAAGAAGTAACCAAAGAAGCCAAAAATTCCAGTTAGGAGTTCCAGTAGGAGAGGGTTGTGACAAGCATGGGGTGGCCCCGCTGTGAAGGTTGTGGAGAGGTCAAGGTTGAGTTTGGCAGCTAGGAGAGTATAGAATTCCCACAGAAAGCAATTTGAGCAGAGAGGTGGAGTAAGAAGCCAGAACACAAAGGATGAGAGAGCAAGGGTGGTGGGGTCGGAGGCAGGCAGGACACAGTGTGTGTGGTGGTGGGGGAGGCAGGCAGGACACAGTGTGTGTGTGTGGGGGGCAGGCAGG